GTGCGATGCTGGACGAGCCGAGTGTCAGACATTGTCCAGCCCCAACAACTGGTACGCGTAGCTATGCTGGTTGATCTTGGTGGTGTCGGCTATAGAACAGTAGTGCGTAGTCAGGCCGGCGAAAAACCCCGTGACACTGGGCTCGTCCAGCACTTCACCCCCCCACACCTCGCGGCACCGTCGCATGCCACGTCCAACGAAACGAAGCCAATGAGCCGTCGACACACAAATACCACACCGCGCAATCTACGTTGTGGTTTGCTCGTGCTCGATTAACCTTTCGTCGGATACTCACCGAATGGGATAGTGCGGCCGTACCTGGACGGAGACGTGGGCCAATGTGGTCGACCATCTTGCTCTGCCCGACAAAACTAGTGTGGCGTGGCAGGGAATTGGGCTATTGGGCTATTGTCACACCAGAACGTCCACACCAACACCCTCCAGACGTGGCATGCCGATGTGTTGGCGGTAGTAAACGCGTTGTGAATCAGCATCGACGGGACGAACCGCGTCCTTGAACTGCGCTATCGGTGGGAACAAGCACCCGCTGCCGCCGACTGAGACTCGGCGTGGCTTTTGAGAGACTTGAAGCTCGCCGCATTGTAAGGACTAGGATGTCCGGAAATTGGCAAGTGCCCCAATATTCTGTCTTGCGTGTGACTGGAAGTGTGGATTTATGTACCTGGCACAGTGGAAGTGAAGGCACGCATGTGTAAGAAAAATGCCACTCTGGCGTGAGTGGTTCGCCACTCTCATATCCAGTCTAGTTCTAGCTCTAGACTTTCGTGTGTAAGTTTACAAAACTAGCACCAAAGTGCGAGAATCGTCGAAGAGGACCGTGATGAAGTCACTCCAGTGCTGTTTCGAGTCACTCCAGTGCTGTTTCGAGTCTCTCCAGTGCTGTTTCGATTCAAAGCACTCAAGATGTAACTTACCGGTACTTACATTTTGACCAATCACAGCAATGTCGGATGAAAGTGTCGTATTTGCAAAGTTACCCATACTTGTTTTCGCTCCCAACAACGTCATCGAAGTATAATAATTTCGAAGTTTCGATGCCAGACGAGCTAATTAACGTTAAATTGATTAATGATGGAAGTAACGGTTAGCGATTTACATTCAATAGTATTGTCGATTTTCTTCAAATTTCCCAATTTTGCATGGTTCGTTCAAATAGAGCCGAGACATCTGATTGGCCATTATTCACTTCGCCCTTTCCAGTAGAAACTCGAAAATAGTTTGTAGCCAATGAGCGACAAGAAATTTCGGATTGACCAATGGGAGAGATTGGTGCACGATTCGCTCGGCGAGATTCGATTGAACGGGGTCCGGAAATTCATACCGATCGTCGGCAAGATCCTAACTGGTGATTTCACTTATAGTTAATACAGTACTGGTACTAGTAACTATGTTCGAAACTGTCAAATTCCCAATATTTCATATTTATATTACAGTTTGTATGACTCTGGTATCATCCCAAAAGGCCCCTACAATAGACAAATTTCAAGTAAACATGAATTAGATATGTATTGTGAGCATTTAAAACACAGGTACACCCTGTTTAAAACATTGCACAAACTCGTCCAATCAAATGTACCCATTCAATGGCGGCGCGCAACTTGTCGGCAACAGCGCGTCGGCTGCGGCACCTTCGATTGACGTCCGTGCCAAAGTCTCATGCGGAGAAGCACCGGCTGCAGATGATGCAGCTTCCACAGTTCACTGGCTTTGAGATCGTCCTATTGGGCACTGGGGCCGGCATGCCCTCGATACAACGCGGTGCGTCGTCGTTGTGCGTGCAATTGCCGGCCAAGAGTTGGCTGTTCGACTGTGGCGAGGGCACGCTGCGACAGATCTTCCGAAGCACAGTGCGCGTGACAACCACTGAGAAGATCTTCCTCACGCACGTCCACGGGGACCACCTATTTGGCTTGCCGGGCATGCTTTGCACGTTGAATTCATTGAACGCTGATTACATGGACCCGTCGACGAAACAGCTTGGTCGCCGGCCCATCGACGTGTACGGCCCGCCGGGGGTGTTTGACTTTGTGAACGCGGCGTTGACGGCTTCGTGCGCGCACATGAACAACGTCTTCATCACGATCCACGAACTCGTGCCACAGGACTACCAACCCCCTCCTCCGTCGCCCCACGAGCGTGTGCACGAGGTAAGGAGCTGTCGTTGTGTTTCTGGCAAACCTTGTCACATTCGTAAAAGGATCTGTCGCACACCATTATTCGACCAGAACGGGTGGACGGTACCCTTGCTTGGCGCGTGATGGACGACGGTGCCCACACTGTGATGGCCGGGGCGTTGGCGCACAGCGTGCCCAGTCTCGGGTATGAAGTTTTCCATTGTCTTTGATGTCAAAGAGTCTAACAGAGGCTCATGCAGATACGTCGTCGAAGAGAACACACGGCCAGGACGGATCGATGTGGCCGCCGCCACCCGCCGCGGCCTCGTGCCCGGGCCGTTGTACAAACAGCTCAAGGGCGGCGACAGCGTCCAGCTGCCGGACGGATCGACGCTGCATCCACACGAAGTGGGTGGTTCAACTTGCATTAATGATAACGTCACAACGATCGACTAGGTCATGGGGCCATCGCGCCGAGGTCGGAAGGCGGCTATTCTCGGCGACTCGGCCGACTCGTCTGGCATGTATGCGCTGGCCCGCAATGCAGATGTACGTGTACCTGGTGGAGCTCTAATTGTTTGAATTCGAATCATACTAGTATTTGTAGGTTCTCATACACGAAGCCACGTTAGCCCATGGCAGCGGAGCCATTGTAAGCCCCCTCCTCCCGTTCCTGTATCTCTTTGATGATATGAGAGTTTGCATTGTTGAGTAATGGATGTCCTCCTGTAGGCCCTCGATCGCGGCCATTCGACCAGCGCCATGGCGGGGTACTTTGCCAGACACATCAACCCCACGCTCCTTGTGCTGACGCACATCAGCCATCGGTTCAGCCCCGGCCTCTTGGGCCCCAACTCTGTCCAACGACTGGTAGACGAAGCCAGAGTGACGTTCCGAAAACGAGCGGTCGTCGACGGCTTTGACTTGATGCGCATTCCGATCCCGTTGCCCCCCATAGCGTCATGATTGATCTCGTATAACGTCAGAATTGTTGCATGATAACGTCATGTTAAGGTTTAAACTCGACCACGTGACTTTTTGCGAGTTCGTACACGCGTCGTTCGGTGGCGAGAAACGCACGAATGGACTCATGTATCGTCTCATTCGAGTGTTTGATGGACAGGATGGCGGCAGCGCACGCGTCTTGGAGGCGTCTGTTGGCCTTGTCCATTGTCTCTTGATCAGGCCACGGAATCAAGTGCTGCATGTGTCCTCCTTCTTTGACGTTAGAGATGGACTCCATGGAGGGGGTGTTGATCTTGTCAACGTCTCGGCGAAGGGCGATGGCCAGGGAAGGCTTGTCCAGCACAAGCAACTGCACCTGTTCCCGATACAAACGTGATGTCAACCGACCAGACTGGGCATCCAGCTGCACATGCAGTCCATTGGCGGAGATGGTCGCATTCCGCTTCTGGAGCAGCATCGTTCGCAGTTTGACTAGTGGGTCGAGTTTCTGGTCGAGTAAGGGCAGGACCAGGGATACTGGGCCGTTGTATGGGTTGTGCGCCAGCGAAAAGCCAGAGTAGACGAGGAGGTCGGCGTTGGGGCGAGGGCCGTAGCAGATGGTGATCTCGTCGCCTGGAGCGAACGACGTCATGGCGTCGCAGTGGATGGACACGCTGTCGGAGTAGGTGGTCATGTCACCGATGGCGTGGTTGCACATGTCCCAGCCGGGTATGAGAGCCAGGGCAGACGGATCGTCCGGTGTCGGCACGTTGTTTTGGCGCGTGAGGGCCACCGACAGCGCCCAAAAGTAGTTGGTCAACGAAAACGATTCATGACGAAAAATGGTCGGCTGTTGGTGGAAATGACGGTGGAGGTAGAGGTACTGGCGAAGGGCGTTGTAGAAGAGCTGGATGGCGGAAGCATAGGCGGCGGTGGAAGATGCCAGCGCCGCGAAATCGGCCACGGTGTACTGCAAGGGGAGGTGCATCTGTCGAGGAAGGACGGCCACGTATGGTGCAAAGAAGGAAGACGGAGCTAATGCTTCGTGGAGAACGTGAAGGGCCAAGGAAACTGTCGGGAATTGCCGGCAAAGTGGGTCTTGACGGAGGTGTGCGAGCGCCGGGGGCAACGACGACGATGTGAGCAGGAGCGTGGCTGGGATCGACATGATGGGCACACCCTGTGGAAGGTCAACACGTGCACGAAGGCCATTGCCATGGTCGCCCATTTGCTCCACGTTGAATTTTCCTTGGCCAACTGGTACTTGCATACCCTCTTCCAGCCATGCTTGGAATGCAGCTAGCGTAGCCGCCGATGTCGACGTGGCGACATCGTCATCGCCAACAATCGACGAGCAGCGTTCCAAGCTACGCAACGTTCCGGAGAGAGCTACGAGCTTGTTCAGAACAGTCACATCATTCAGGTCCTTCCACGAAGTGCAGACGCCTAGGACAGCTGTCAACTCGCGCAGAGTCGCCGCCGCCACGCCGTTGGGCTCGTGCATGTAAAGTTTGAAGTGCAGCAACATTTGTATCCGGATAACATTCACAATTAACCGTACAGATCGAGTGGCGAGGTCCCAGGCTTTTCGATATTCGAGACTTGACCACTCAGAACCCTTCTTTTGCGCCACCGCCGCATATTCCATGATGATGGTACGTTGGACCGTTCCTTGATCGCAGGGTGGCGGCGGGCGGGGATGTTGCCTCGACTTCCCTATGTGACCCTCGCGTGCTTCCCCTGGTACATGCTTGTGCTTGAAATCTCAATTAGCCTTGTGTGTAGCAACCGCAAATTATCCTCCTGAAAGAAGGCACAGACACCAGCCAAGGCAAGTCCCAATTGATCAGCAACATTAATGCGTGTCAAGCTATCATGGAAAGCGTCCGAACGACGTTGGGACCTCGCGGCATGGACAAGTTGATCCACAAGGGCAACAAAACCACCATCTCGAACGACGGCGCGACGATCATGGGCCTGTTGGACATTGTGCACCCCGCCGCGAAGACGTTGGTGGACATCTCCCTGAGCCAGGACGCGGAAGTCGGTGACGGCACGACGTCCGTGGTGCTTTTGGGCGGGGAGTTTCTTCGCCAAGCGAAGCCCTTTATCGAAGAAAACATGCATCCGCAAACGATCATCAAGAGCTACCGCAAGGCGTGTCAGCTGGCCGTGCAAAAGATCCGCGAGATCCAAGTGCGCGTGTCCGAGACGGACTCGGTCGCGTACCGTCAAATGCTCGAACGTGTGGCTGGGACAGCGCTCAACTCGAAGCTGATCAGCTCGCAGAAGCACTTCTTCTCCCCGATGGTCGTGGACGCCATCTTGAGTCTGGACACGGACATGGACATCAGCATGGTCGGCGTGAAGAAGGTCCCCGGCGGGTCGGTCACCGACTCGTTCCTGGTCAAGGGCGTCGCGTTCAAGAAGACGTTTTCGTACGCCGGCTTCGAGCAAATGCCCAAGTACTTCAAGAACCCCAAGATCCTGCTGCTCAACGTCGAGCTCGAGCTCAAGTCGGAGAAAGAAAACGCAGAAGTCCGTCTGGACGACCCGTCGCAGTACCAGTCGATCGTCGACGCCGAATGGAACATCATCTACGACAAACTAGACAAATGCGTCCAGGTATATGTATATATATTTATATATATATTTCCCCTCGGGCTACGTTTCATCCCTCAATATATATATATATATATATATTCATCGTTCCCAGTGTATCTAAAACGACTATGTATTGACATTTTGTATTTTGAATTTTTTTATTCGATTGTCGATGTATATATATATATAATATGACTGTCAATATAATATAATGTATATATATAGCGGCCTAGTTTTGCACATACTACCGAAAACCACATGTGAATACGAGGATTTGATATCGAATAGACTATCGACACGGGCTTGTATATATATATATATATATATATATTCTAGTGCTTTCTGTAGCCAATGACTGACTCGACTGAAAAACGTCCTCACTCATACTATATTCTCCTTTCTAGTCGGGGGCCCAAATCATCTTGTCCAAGCTGCCCATTGGCGATTTGGCGACGCAGTACTTTGCCGACCGCGGCCTCTTTTGCGCCGGCCGCGTCGCGCAGGATGACATGGAGCGCACGATGCGCGCTACGGGTGGGTTGATCCAGACCAGCGTCCAGGACATGACGCCCAGCGTTCTCGGCACGTGCGGCGTGTTTGAAGAGCAGCAGTGCGGGAACGAGCGCTACAACTTGTTCACGGGCTGCTCCAAGTCCAAGAGCACCACCATCGTGCTGCGCGGCGGCGCCGAGCAGTTCATTGAGGAAGCGCATCGCTCCGTGCACGACGCGCTCATGGTCGTCAAGCGGACAGTCACCACGTCCACGGTAGTATACCGACAATGCTCTTGTCTAACAAAGTGGAGTATATATATATATATATTTATATTGGAGTTGGATATATAGTGGACATGACCTCATTCATATACACTGAACTTAGGTGGTGGCGGGCGGCGGTGCGATTGAAATGGAACTATCGCGCCATTTGCGCGAGTACTCGCGGACGGTGGAAGGCAAGGCGCAGCTCCTGATCAACGCGTTCGCCAAGGCATTTGAAATCATCCCGCGCCAGCTGAGCGACAACGCCGGCCACGATTCGACGGACATCCTCAACCGACTGCGACAGAAGCACTTCAAGGACCCTGACGCGGGCAAATGGTTTGGTGTGGACATCAACTCGGGCGGGATCTGCGACACGTTTGAGTCGCATGTGTGGGAACCCGCGGCCAACAAGGTTGTTGCCTCGATACATTCCCGTGATACGAGTGTTGGAGAGAATGATGAATGATGGTCATTCTGATGTAGATCAACTCGGTGGCGGCGGCGACGGAAGCGGCGTGCCTGATCTTGAGCGTGGACGAAACCGTGCGGAACCCCAAGTCGGAGCAGCCCCAGGGCGGCGCGGGCGGCGGACCAGGCGGCGCGCCGTTGAGTGCGGCCATGGGCGGCCAAGGCATGAAGGGGCTGGGCATGGGCGGCCGGGGCGGCGGGTTAGGCAAGGGCGTGCGTGCGTTCCGCGGCAAGGGCGGCGCATAGATCGGATAGCATTTAGTACTTCTTTGGGAGCGAATTACACACACACTCATCACGATATATTTGACTTTGCCGATGCTCGAACCATCGGAACAAGAAAAGTCTGTGAAGTATACATATTTAGGAAGGTAGTGCATTGCCGCATTCATAATAGAGACGTTCCTTGCGCTGCAAGTGCTGCATATAACAGCCCTCAGGCTTTATGCCATTGAACATGCGACGAGGTTATGGATGCTTGGCCAACTGTGGAGGGTACATCCTCCTTGGGCAATGGTGTTGTTGGAGGTATCTCTCATGTTTTGGCTTTGTGACTGTTGTTGTGAGGTGTCGATAATATAACATTCGGTTCAGATTTAGTTTTCTGGGGAGACTGTCTAGTTCAGTTTGAGCTCCTTGACGACTTCCATGATGGACTTGAAGCTGTACGGTTCCGTGGCGGCGATGTCGGCCAACACTTTGCGGTTCAATTGGATGTCCGACGAGTTCAAGACCCCGATGAACTTGGAGTACGACAAGCCCTCTTGGCGGGCCCCGGCGTTGATCTTTTCAATCCACAGCGAGCGAAAGTCCTATACAAAGAAGTCCACATAAGGAATCCACATTGGCCCGAGCAACAACGTACACGCTTCTTTTGCTTTCGGTCACGGTACTGGTACTGCAACCCCTTCTCCACACGGTTGATGGCCGTTCGGTAGCACGAGTTGGCGGCACCTCGGTAGCCCTTGGCCATCGCCAGGATCTTCTTGTGCTTGGCCCACGACATGTTTCTGGTTGGAGCGACTTCTCACGCGGAGGGTTTTGCAGCGGCAATGCACGATGCAAATGACCACCAACAATTTTATCCGGAAATTTACACATGTATCCGGATATACTGTCATCCGGATAATTCCCGGACAAGTTGACTTTGTCCTGATTTCTACACTTGCTCGTCACATAATGGCCTTCAAGGTGAACAACCACTGGGGCGTCGTGGCGATTGCTAGCGTCGTCTTCGACATCGATGTGGGCCAGACCATGGAGATGGTGTACCCAGAGTCCGTGGCGCTGTCTGCAGAGGCGAAGCAAAGCATTGCGTACCTGGCGCTTCCACACAGCAACAAGCACGTGGAAGGGGACACGCAGTTTTCATTTCGCTGCCGCCGTCAAGACGCATCGTCGGACGCCACCAATAGTAGCAGCGCCAGTGAAAATCCACCATTGTTGCCTTCGTCGTCATTCTACTACGGGTTCGTCCTGTTTCGGCAACGCAAGGACACCAGTCGTAGCCGCGGGTACTTTCAAAAGTCGCTGGTGGTGATCACGCACTTGCCCTTCGTGGGTTTATACGACCGCGTGCTGCGAATCGTGGGCCCGCTCTTCTTTCAAGTGGGCAACCCGCTGCTGCAGGCCCTGTACGAGAACATTGGCCAATGGTACCACCACCCGAATCACCTTGCTCACGATCATCCATCGATGCGCCTCACATATACGCCGCTCTTATGCATGATAGGCCTGCGCCAGTGGCCGACTCGACGATGGCACTCCAAGTGGCCGGCACGTTCGTCACGTTTGTGGTGCCCAAGATCATCACGCACGAAGACGCAGCGCTGTTCACACGAAGATGGAGCATCCAAGACGAGTCGTTCGAGGTCGAAGCCGTCGATGTCATCGAGGAAGCGACCGCCGCCGACGACGACGATGACGGCAGCAGGACCATCGTCCGAAACGGCAAGTTCTGCATGGTCCACGGCAGCAACCCCACCTCTAGCCAAGACGTTGTGCCGTTGACGTTTGCCGACTTGCTCAACGCGAACGAGCTAGGCATGTCCTTTGAGGCATGTATACGCGGCACATGTTGTTCGCGTATGACTCCATCTTGGTAGAGCGTGGGTCTGTTTTCGACGTTTGAAGGCGTCGAAGTGTGTCTGTGGGACCTGTGGCAGTTGGCAATCACCGGCGAAAGCGTCCTTATTGCGTCGCCCAACGCCCGAGTGTGCAGTCAAGCTGTGTTGGCATTTACGAGGTACATTTGATGCTGGCTTTGATGACGTGTCACTCTTTCATGTGTTGGCAGCCTCATCGCCCCCGTGCCCTTCCACGGCGACTTTCGGCCGTACTTTACCCTCTACGAGCCAGACTTCAATGTACTCTCCACTTGCAAATGTTGGCTTTTTAGCATGGTTTGTAGGCGCTGAGTAAAGTGCACGATGCCAATCTGTCGCAGCTGCCCACGACAGTCCTTGGCACTACCAATCCATTCTTTCTCAAAGTAACAACGTTCTGGTGTTTACAATTCAGTCAATTTAGTTGATATCGATGGGGTAGTCTCTCAAGCGATGGCCGAACGCTCTGCTGTTTCCATTTGCAGACTCCCCGCCTCGATCTTCCACCGGTGCGTGGGATACAGTATATATATATATGGATTTATTTTACAGATGAAATATATTTGGCTCTGGTTCATTTAGAGCACGAAACCGACTCGAGTTCTCCGAACGCAGCATCACTTTTCAAACCCATCAAGCGAACTGTCGACTTGGACTCGTTCTCGGACACTGACATGCCCAAGGTAATTGTTGTACACAACCTCACTGGGATTTGCCAGAAAAATGTGAAAAACCATATCTTTACTCGAAATATATATATATATGTACATATATAATACATATATATATAATTAGTTCTAACCGGCGCGCTAGCTGTTGACTAGAACCACACGGTTGGTCGTGCCAGACAATGCGATTCTGCGGCAATTAGTCGAAGCAGCCTCGGACCAGGGTGACACGTCTCCAGGCGAAGAATTTCCGCACGTGTCAATCAACAATGCCCTGCTTCGAAAGGTATATAATAAATTATATTGATCCATGTTGTCATATTTTGCAAATATTCATGACGAATTTTAGCACTTTAAGCACGTGACCGAATTGTTTCTAAAACCATTCGAAGAGTACTTTGGCATGTGGTCCAACCATTTGAACGTGGCCACGACACCGTACATGGACATTGCGTCGTTCATGAAGCCGTTTCACGCCAAGGTAAAAATAAATACATATCAAAAACAATTTTATTTTCTTATAAAAAAATATATATATATATAAACAATTATTTTTTTATATTTCGTCCATCCTATCACTATTTTATGTATGATACTTGTGAGGATGTATGTTGATCGATTTGGTTGAGTAGGAATTTCTCACCGCACTCGGCAAGAGATCATTGAAATTGCCGTTTGCGCTCCGCACGACCAAACCAAAGGTCAAGGTGCTGTACGCTCGGTTCATAGCGTCGCCGCATTTCCAGCCGTGGTTCAACTACCGTCGCAATGAATGCATCTGCGCGTTTGAGGCTGTTCTGTACACTCTGCGGGAAACCATCACGGCCAAAGAGCTCATGCGGGGGCCATGCGGCGCCCCAATGACACGGCCGGCACTTGTCACGCTGCTCGCCCAGGTACTTACTGTACTGTACGCTCGCAATACTGTACACCCACGGCATCTTGACTACTTGTTTCGTACTACTACTACAACTACTACTGTATGCAACGACGCCCGTCTCCATAGTTCAAACGACGACTTTTCTGATAGATTCACAAGAAAATTATCGTGGAAACGGCAAAGTCCCCCGTGGACGAGACGCATGTGGACACATTGCACCGTCATGTGCACGACGTGCAGCACGCCATCGATTTATTAAGTACTACGACTACTACTACTATGTAGTAGTAGTAATACTAGTCACTATTAATACTAGAGAACCCACTGACTAGTATTTGACTACAGTACTAGTTACTAGTTAGTTAATTGACTACTACTAGTTAATACTAGTACTAGTTAGTATTGATCCACATATAGTGCCCTAATAGTTAAGGGTGCGCCGCCACGGGGGTGTTGGCATCGTCCAACGTCGACAGAAGGCCCAACAACGTCTTGATCGAATGCAGCTGCTCGTCTTCTGGGATCACCGAGAAGGGCGGGACATGCACGAACAGCGCGTACTACAAGCAAGCAGTGGTCGAATGACAAGTCCAATCGACATTCCAAAGAGGGGTGGGTTACCTGGTTCTTGGCCACGCGCTGCTGCGCTTTCACCAGTGACAAGAAGTACGTGTAGTTGCAGATGTATCGACCTGGGTCCGTGGACAACTCGACCTGGAGGCCGTCGGCTTTCAACGCCGCGTGGTACGTTTCGAGGGGGAGGTGCGTGCGGATGGAGTCCGGTTGGTCGGCGACGATCACTTCGTTCTGGGCCACCCACCCCTGTTCGTCCGGCATCCTGAAGTTCGCAATGTTGTACCCCACTTGCTCCAGCAAGATGGTCTTGGTCCCGTCGTGCACGCCCAAGTGCACAAACACGGTGGTTTCGTCATCGTCCTATTGAGATGGGTTGGCAAATGCAAAATATCGTTGGAAGGGAGGACGAACAACGAACGCACCTTGGCTTCGGCCCACAACGGCTCCAACGCCGCGCGGACGCCTTGCGCCGACACTTCGAGGACAAACGAAGTATGGACGATCGGGTCATCCTTCAACTGCGTCGCGAGCTTGGTGGTCGGGTTGATCAAGACAGGACCGAACTTGCCGAAGCCTGTGACGATGAGCTTGACCATGATATGCTGGATTGGAGAATGGATAGATTGCGAGGGTCATGTGTAGCAGGTGTGCAATCATGATTAGTACATACAGTACGCGCATTGGCACAACGCGGATCGCATGTGTCTGAGCCAGGCCCTGAATATCTTCAAGTGTCCCTTTTTCATATCGAGGATACAAATATCAAGTACAATTAGTCGAAGTAGGGCTTCGTTTGATAAGGTATTTTGAAATACCCTAAACAAAACTCCGTGTGCATTGGCCGACCAAAATTAGGTGGATGGGTGATCCATTCATTGCACATGACAGCGCACGCACAGGTTCACCCTGACATGGCTCCATGAAGTGTACAACTCCGAGTCAGTTGTGTGTTGACAAGAAGAGCACACTCTCTGTATGTACTACCGATACAGTACTGTACATAGCACGAAGGAAAGGAAACGTGAAAGTAACGCCAGCGTCAATAATGTTACCGGTAACAGTTACAACGTCGCCTGGATGACAGCGACAAGAGTCTTGATCGCGTGTAGCTGTTCCTCTTGGGGTTGAACGGTAAACGGCGGCACATGGACAAACAGAGCGTGCTATGAACACCAAAGATCATCAATAGGACTGCCAGGTTGTATGTTCGTACGTGGTTGGGTCTGGCCTTGGTTTGGGCCAGCGACAGAAAGTACGTAAAGTTGCAAATGTAGCGACCAGGGTCGTTGGACAGCGCCACCTTGCAGCCCTGTTCCGTGCAATGCGCAATGAACTTTTCCAAGGGGAGCGTCGTTTCAAGCGACGCTGCTTCGTTCGCGATGATCGTTTCGTTCTTAGCGACCCACCCGCGCTCATCGGGGATGTTAAAGTTGGCCAAGTTGTACCCGAATTGCTCGAAGTCGATTTGCTTGCTCCTGCCATTCACCCCCATGTGCAGAAAGACCGTGGGCTCGTCCGCATGCTATCGACGGAGTTTTTAGAAAGATATTTCCGCATGTGGGGACAACGTACGTCGGCGGCATCTTGCCACAGAGGCGCCAAGGCGGCGCGAACGCCTTCCGCAGACACTTCCAAGACATGGACCTCATGCACATTGGCGTCGTCCTTCAACAGTTCCGCCAACTTGGTCGTGGGGTTGTCAATGATGTCGCCGAACTTGCCAAAGCCAGTGACGACGATCTTGACCATTGCAATCGGCAAACAGATTAATAATGATGGATGTGGCGCAAGACCGTCGATATATTTGATTGTGTCGGTCATATTACTATTAACAGTAAGTAATACTACGTAGTATCGTTAATTAATTGCTCAAACCGTGATTATTCACCGTTAATGCATTTCATTGGCTATTTCGTAGTACTTCGAACTTCGAAATACGTACATTATTACAAGGATTGTCCACTAACAGTTAACGACTCCGTCGTATAATAAAAAGAAAGCTGTCGCATTACCGTATAGTGTATATGTATTGCGACGGATTAATCTATTGCGACTCCTGTAATAACTGATACTTAGTACGTACTACGTAGTATTTACTTG